CCCCCTCCTAGCCACGTGTTTGGCAGGCGCTTTGTGGCTATGAATGCAGAACCTTGCCGGGCAGGCCAGGGCTGAGGGGGGCTCCCATGGGGCTTGCACCTGGACACCCCGGCCATGGGGGCTGGGGCTACCCCCGAAGCCTGGGGACGGAGAGGCTGTTGGAAGGTGCAAAGGGGACTCCGGGGGCTTGCCTGGCAGGCCCGGCTGGCAGCGTGGGGGCCTGTAGGGCAGGTGAGTGGCTCTCAGTGTATCACCCGCAGCCCTGTCTCGCTCCCCCCGTGGGCCCTGCACTATTAATGTGCCGCTGAAAGGGATGCCTGAATATTTAATGCGGTCGCTTTAAACGGGCCCCCTGGGGCTGCGGTGTGTGCCCCATGCAGGCCTGGCACCGGCTGGCTCTAGGGCACCTCCCTGGCCCCCCATTCCTGTGGGGGATCTCGGGGCGACTGCCTCTCCCCGGCTCAGCCAAGCGGGACGTGTCCGTGTGCCCCAAGTGGGCTCATGGGGGTTGCCCTGTTGGAAAAGCCCAAACGTTTGCTCCCTGGGGCTTTGGGCTTTCCCTGAGACTTTGCCAGGTCCTGGGTCTTTAGCATCTGGGGCAGGCTCCTGGGACGGGCAGGACCGTCTGTGAGGCAGGCTGGACACGGTGGGCTCTTGTGGTTTTGTAGAGGCTGGGAGATGGGACCCTGTGACCCGGGCCAAGTCCCTTCCAAGCTCTGTGCCTCAGTTTCCCTCCAATGGACTGAGAGTGCTTGCGGTCGGGAGGCACTCAGTGTCTGGGCAGTGCCCCGGGGGCCCAGCTCCGGGCTGGCTATGGGCGGCACCCAGCACCACACACCTGGGGGAGGAAAGGCTTGGTGAGGAAGCGTGGTGGGGAGGGAGGATCCCTGTTTAGGTAGGACCTACGCTGCTTGGTGGGCAGCACGCACACTGCCCAGCGCATGCCCATGTGTGGCACCCGGGTGGGAACCCAGGAGTCCTGTCTTCCCTTCCTGGGCCGGGCCCCCCCCCC